CAGTGTGCGGACGCGTTGTCTAGGCTTAGAGTTGCGACCTAGAGACGGCGGGCCTTGAGGTATGGCTCCGGGCTGACATGACGTTCAGTCGAATGATCTCTGGGGCCTCCCATATGAGTTGTGCTAACCATATAATATTATGTGCTAGTACTAATGCATGTTTGTTTTTGTGTGTGTTTGTGTTCGTGTTTGCTTTACTACGAATGTACCGGAAGGGTAGAGCTTCATTCTGTAATACGGGAAGGTTAGAGCTAATCGATGTTCCAGGCTGCACGGTGAACACTTCGCGTCTAGGTCCTGAGACTTTATGTGTTGTTGTTTTGGTGTGTTGCTCGTTCTTGCAGCCCGAGCAACACAGTTGGGGGGGAGATGTTAGGTCCCAGGACCTTCGGGGAAACTGTGTTCTGTATATGTATTCTTGTATGTTTTTTGTTTTTTAGGGGACTCGTAAACATTGCACCCCGCAATGTTTACGAGTCCTGGACGCGATGGCAGTTATCGAATTCCGAAGTAACCCGAATCTCGAGCACCGGGGTTGGAAATGTGGGGAGTCGGCGAAATGCACCGCCGGGTCGGAACGACACGGCGGGCGGTGCGGAGCGACCCGGCGAAGTGACAAGCGATGCTGACCAGACGCCCGGGAAAGTGGGGACGATTCCTGGGATTTTGGGGACGCGCGGGAAAGAGGAAGGCAGTTTACGCTGAGCATCGGAGGGGGCAAGACGCCACCAGGACTCCAAGAGGTCTCGCGTAGCTCCTAAGATCTGTAACCCAGTCCGTAACTATATATGTAAATAAATCATATATATATATTCGTAACCTTCACCTGGGTGTCCCTCTGCCACTACATCTCCGTTGGCCAAGGCGGAATCGGGGTTGCCATCATCACATCGGCGGCAACCCAACAAAGAACTTCAGCCTCTCTCAACGACACCAGCAAGAGAGAGGAGGAGAGAAATTAACTCCTCTTTTCCCAGGATAGAGGGGCTGTAGCTTCTGCTCCTCTCGACGCCGATGAACATGGCGGCGCCTGAGGCATCTCTATCGTCGGCGGGCGGAACCTCGGCAGTAGCGGACCGTGGCCGTCCACGCCAGTACACCGCAGAGGAACTAAGGGAGCTGAAGAACGACATTCATGCTTTCGCATTCACAACTCATAAGTGCTTAGGTGTCGTCCGAATGTTTCGGGTGTTAACAAGTGTTTTTAATGTATATTGCGTCGTTCTCGACGCGGGCATCGACGGACATAGCGCCGCTTATTACGCCCCTGTCGATGTGAGTACTACTGTTGACACGTTGTAGATCCACTATATCGCGCTATAGAATCGTTTATTTGACCCGCATGCTGTGTCGAGAGAGCAGCTGTTTTGAGTGTCAGTGCTAGACAGAGCAACGACGTAGCAATGGCGACTCGAGAGCCGACTGCGCCTCGATCTGGCGGACCGCGCTCGCTCTGCTAAAATATGGGTCTGGAAATTTCGAGCACCGTTAGCTTGCTTATGTTGCAAGAGGCTGCTTTGTCGTTGAGAATACTTTGCCTTGCAAACGCCTGCGGAGCCGTTCCAGTGCTCGTCGAACCTCCCGCGCAGCATCGCAACCTTTCTGGGGCGTATTGGCAGTGTGCGAGCGCCGGCGGTTCATCGTCGCGCTTGAATGCGAGTATTTTATGAGCCCCCGTGAACATGAACACCCTCTACGATGAACCGGTAGGGCTCACAGACGGAGGGTTGCGATACAGCGCGAACGGTTGTTGAAAGGCGCAGCTTAGGGTACGAGGAGCGCTGGAACGACTTCGCAGGCGTTCGATGGCCAAAGTATTTGCGACGACAAAGCAGTGTCTTGCCATCTTCGGCAAGCTAACAGTGCTCGAGAATCCCACGCTCATATTTCAGCAGAGCGAGCGCGGTCGGCCAAATCGAGGCGGAGTCGGCGCTTGTGTCGAGATCGCTACGTCGTAGCTTAGCCTACACTGATGACATGTGCTCTAACATTCAAAACAGCTCTTTCGAGAGTGCAGGCGGGTCAAACAGGCGTGTCCGTGCCGCCGCTCTGTACTTCAGTATCAAACGGGCTCACCGGCTAACGGGGGAGGAGTTTGATTAAACCGGTGCCGTTTGACTGTCACCATGGTGACAGTCAAACTTTGTTCAAGCGGGCAAACATTTTGCACAAGCGGGTGACTGCAGTCACCCGCTTATGCAAAATGTTTGCCCTTTTGAACAAAATAGGCGACCCGCTTGCTCAAATGATTGACTCGTTTGGCCAAACAAGTGATTTATTTTGCCAAACGAGTGACCGTTTGCCTGGACAAGTGACCCCTTCGCTTAAATGGTTGACCGGTATGGCTCAAACGGGGGAGCAGTACGGCTCAAACGGGTGACTCGTTTGACAAGCGTGTAATCGGTATGGCTAAACTGTTACCGGTATGAAGTCGTTTACTTTTCTATAGGAGCCAAATGTTTTTTTTTTTTTTTTTTTTTTTTTCAGCAGGGAATCTCTATTTAACAATAATTAGGGCTGTCGTGCAGCTAAAATAAATTTAGGAATGTTTTTACCGCGTAATTACTTAAAGCGATTGTCGAAATGGTAACACTACGGTCGTAAACGTTTAGACGGTTGTTGAAATTAGAACTGCTGAGAGAGCAGCTCACCATTACTGCTAGTGGAAGAAAATGGCATGCCGACTCACCCGTTGATAAAATTTCATACACGAAAGCTAGCGATTAAAAAATCGAAGCATGAAGACGAGCTCTTTGATCATCATTGTTGATGTTTGGAACTTGAAACCAATCCCTGCTAGACACTTGAAATATTTCAAAAATACCCAGGACGTTTTGGGGAATGAAGCGATCCCATAGCAGGTGGTGAAGTAAAAAAGCGTTGAAACACATTTATTCCACCGATCGTTATGAAGATCAATCGTGCCGGTGTCGCACTTTTAAAAACACTGTCAGTGCAGCTCAACACCACGCAACAATAGAAACTTTGGAGTAATGCCGGTTCTGACTCAATTTTACGCTAGGAATAGGAATTACATGAAAGACAGAACTGGACAAAAACATTTCATTCGATGCCGTAAATCACGAACAACGCAGCGATCTCATCTTCCTCGGTTAGGGCTAGATGCTTCATCAGCGAATGAAGAACATTCTGATAAAATAAAGAGTGGAAAATACTCCCCCTGTCAAGTTTTCTAATATAGTGACTAGTTGATGCCGGTCCGTGGTGATTCCCGGCCCTTCGAATGCAGTGGCACTTTATACGAGAGTCCCATTTCTTGTGGCGCAGCCCCGCTACGAGCGAAGGTAAAAATTCAAGATGGCGGAGTGTTCCTAGTGTTGGCGCGCCGTCAACACGGTGTGACCGGGTGTTGTCCGACTGTCGGAAAACAAATCGGCGAAGACGGTTGTCGGGCAGCGAAAGCATGTTTCCCGGCAGTTGCTGTTGCCTCAATGTGACACGGTTGCCGAAAACATGTTTCCCTCGTGTTGATGGACAGGGTTGTCCAACTGATTCCTCAATGTGACAGCGCCTTTAGAGTTGCGTATCAGGCTGTTGGCTTCACCAAAAGTGGATTGTGGTGTTGAGACTATGCGAGTTCGTGCTCTTGGCATCGAGCGTGCACCTGCTTCATGGCGAACGCTTGTTCAGTCAAGGGTTCTGCTCAACCTGGAATCTAGAGGCAGAGTGTTCTTAAAAAGCAGCACGCTCTAATCGCTAAACGCCGAGGAGGCTAATTTTTGGGCCTCTTTATTAGCTGGATGTACTACCCCGAATAGATTGCATAGTGACTGGTTCCTCACTTGTTGTCGACAGACGGTCAGATATTTCTTTTCTGTATGTAACAGCAGGGTGGGAAAACAAAACATTTATCAGAGTTATTTGATTTGAATAAGATTTTATTCTATTTAAATCAGATTACACTTGATTTAAATCTATGTATCTTTAAGAACAGTGATTCTTCACCACTAAATATATTTTTCAACATGATTGATTGATTGCTCAATTCATCCGATCACACTGTAAAAAAAGCCCGTGCGTCTACTTTCCCGCACAACACTCGGAGAGCCGATCACCTCAACTTACGGAGGCAGCTCAGCGAATGACGATGCCGAAATATATGTTTAGACCAAAAAACGCAGCCTGAGTTTTGACATTAAGTAATACAAACGTCACGCTTGCATTGTTTAATGTCACAACTCATACTGCGTTTTTGGTCTAAACATGTGTTTCGGAATAGTCATTCGCTGAGCTGCCTCCGTAAGTTGTGCTGATTGGCTCTCTGAGTGTTGTGCGGGAAAGTAGACGGACGGGCCTTTTTTAGAGTGCACTGACAACAATGAGGAAGAAATTATTTCTCTAAATCTAAAGTACGCTTCAATTAACAACGTTTTATTGCTGTAATATCCACCATACAAGATCAAAAACAGCTTGACTTATTTGAGTTAGTAAAGAAAAATATATTTTATTTTTCTGCCGAGTAATGACTGGAATGCAATAGGACATTAATTTTCTAGTTTTCGTTTATGCCTTTTGCGTTCAGATTCTCTTGAAATAGGACGTTATGTAGCTAGCGAACGAAGTCAAACGTACAAATCAAGTTCTGCGCTCCAATTTGCTCAGAAGACGAGCACTTATTTTTGGCTCGATTTCTGCCTTATATAAAGTTTTTTCGCATAATGATTATTTGATTTAAATACAAGAGACAAGACATGCGCATAGAAAGCATGAAGTGATAGACAAGCAGTAAATAAGAAATATATTTCGGAAATAATTTTGCTTGAAAATTTTCATTTAATTCATCATAGTATAAAGCTGGTCTCGTAGAAATCACAATTTAAATCACATTGGTATTTATTGTCAACCCTGCGCGAGAACTATGCGGCAAATGTGTCTAATATCTGAAATGGTGCTAACTTGAGTCGACATGTCTCATAGTACTCAGCATGCTAAATACTGAAGAGAACGACCGGTAACCTAGGTCTGATGTTTGTCTACAGTTCCCGAGGGAACCCCGACGGCCCTGAACTACTCGAAAAAGACTGTTGACAAGTACGAGATCTTCTGGGGGCCCGTTCCGTGTGAACTTGCCAACGGCGTCGTGCGCCACTACTACTTGGAACTGGACAGCGCCGACCCGTGGGAGAGCAGGCTGGTGAACCACACCACGGGGGACATGAGACTCGTCTTCTGGAACCTGCTGCCCTACACACGCTACCGGGCCGAGGTGTTCGCAGAGAACGACGCGGGTCGCTCTCAAGTCGCTGCCGAGCTCAACTTCACCACGTCACCTGCCGGTGAGACATTTCCCACTAAATCACTGACAGCACGAATCAACGATACAGATGTCGTTTGTGCAAATATGTTCAAAGTGGCATCTGTAAGCAAAAAAAACACAAAAACAATAACAACAACAAAAACACGGATGTAACGAAAAATGCTTGAACGTGACAAGTCGTTGGCAACTTCATTAAAACCAACGTATGTTGAATTCTGGTGGAATTATTTCATTTTCGCATACTTCATGATTGGGCTCATTAAGGCGTAAGCATTAGTACCGACATAACAGGGAAAAGCTGACGGCGTCCGCGTGTCGACGAAACAGTGGAAAGGGAAGCGGGCCGCGTAGAGAGGAGGAGAGTAGGGAAGGACAAAGGCGAGAGGGAGGCGACGTCATGGGGCGGAAGCCAATGCGCGCGCGCATGATGGGGCGGGTCTGAACTTGCAGGTGTGTGGAGTGTGTATGCTTTGCTTTGTGCTACAAAATGGCGTGTGAACCAAGTACTAGCGCTGGTCCAAGTAGGCGGCAAAAAGGCGAAATATGAACAAAGGACACGGGCTGCCGAAACCGGTGAAAAAGGAGAACAGCAAAAGCAGCGTCAGGCAGCGGATGCCGCTGCTAAGCGTGCAAGGCAGGTGAACGAGACAGAAAAGCGGAAGGAGCGCCTAGCTCGGCTGGCCGATTGAACGCAATTTAAACTGAGCGCATAAATTGGTTTCTTAACTTATCGCGCTTGAATTCACTACAGAGGTGCTCGACGCTGGTGAATTTATTAATTGAGAACATGAATACAAGAAAAATTCGGAGTCAAAAGAAAGAAAATAAAAACTGCTTTTTCTTCTATGGAAAAATTATCGCTAAGCTTTTTATCTCAAAATATTCAGAAAATCGTTGTGGGATATTCTGGCGTTCACTACGATTGAAAAACAAATTGTGAAATGGAAATAAAATAAAATTGGTTTACGTATCCTTCGCTTTATTTGGCCCGAATAAGCGCCGCAGTAACACATACATGTATATTTAGTGTACATGCAAAGTATAGAGAAAACATATTTTTAAATTTTACTTGATTTGCTCAGGTGAGCCAATCTTTTCACAATTTTAGCGAAAACATCCACCAACCTCAGGCACCTGTTTAGTAAATCCTAGCGCGATATGTTAAGAACCTGATTTATGCCGTCCCTTCAAACTGCCGTCGATCCCTTTGACCGGTAGACACCGGGCCTCTCGGAGCTCAAAAGGAGACTGCGATAGTCCGCTACCACAGCTACCGTGAGGCCGACGCCATAAACTTCAAGAGGAAGTATTTACTTTCTTCTACCCGTTCAATCACAAAGTAGACATTGTAGACGGCCACAAAAAATTTAATAAAGCTCCATTGGTGGATTAATGCGTTAGCATGACATTTGAAAAAACCCCACACACGTCACCCTTCGGGAAACTAACGCTGACCCCGTAAGAAAAGCAAAAAGAAAAAAAAAATCAAGCAAAACAGCAAGCCAAAAGAGAAAGCCAAAACAGAAAAGTGATAGGGTCAGTTTCAGCGCTCCCAATCGATCTTCCTTTATTTATTTTTATATATTTCTTCTTTTTTTTGGGGGGGGGGGGGGGAGGGGGGGCTATTTGAATGTTTGTTTTTCTTGTGGGTTGCGGAATGATGAGATGATCTGTCTTAAAAGTACCTTATCATTCGTGAGGTACGACATGGAATATTATATTTCAATGCTTCACTCGCGACGACGTTGGACGTTTCTTAGCACATATTTATTTTGACGTCGCGTGTTGCCCTATGTAAGGGAAACGGAGGCCTGCTTGATGGCGCAGTACGAGTTCCAGCCACTGCCTGTTTGACACGTACTGCCACATTAATGACTTAATTCGATGCTCGCGGGATATAAACGCTCTGTAACTGAATCAAACCTTCACAAACCATTGTACTATACAATGAAACGCGTTGGACACAAGTGGGTTCCGCCCGCGATTTTCGCTACGACGGTAAAGGCACGGATGTGCCTGAAAATCGTTTTTTTGTTACCGTCTCTCCGTCTTCTATTGCAAGTTCTTCCAAGCGCTGTAAGAAACAATACGGGATAGCGCTCAGGGTTTCGAGAGTTAGCATATTGCGCGAGGACATCCGATTAGTACAGTTTCTGAAGACATGCACTAAAGTGTGTATCCTAGGCTTACTCAAAGTGTAAGGTTTTGCAAGCGAAGCGTGAGATATGGAATTGGTATGGGTAATTTGAGTTTAATATAAAATGGAAATAAAGCAACACTATGAATATCCGAGGTCAAAGAAACAGGGCCGTTGACGATTTTTCATTTATACGCTTCGCTCACGAGGAAACTTCAAGCCGATTGTAGAAACTCTTCGAACTTAGTCGTTTTAAAGTTTATGATGTAGCAGAAAAGACAGATCGTAGCAGAAACCACGCCTCCAAAGCGCGCTCTGCTTTCTACCACGGGCAGGGGCTGTGAGACAGCACAGAGGATGCTACTCATCCGATTTATAAATAAACTGTTGATCTAACGCCCCGTGTCACCTGCCACCTGTCATGGGTCACGTGGCACAACGCGGAGGTCGGATTGGTTGAGGCATACCACATAACGTTTGCTGTAAGAAGCGAAAGTTGGCAGGCGAGCTGGTTAGGAAACTTCATAATCCAAATCCAGGGTCACGTAGAAATAAAATCGTCCGTTATTTTATTTCTTCGGGTTTCAGGGTTTGGATGATGAACTTTTACTGTGCCGACTTACGTGGGTAGGGCTAAGCGTTTCTTGGCGCGATGCTGTCTAGCGGCGTCCTATTACCCCATCTTGCACGATGCACAGGCGTAAACTAGCGTCTCTCAGCGTCCCTCGGCGTCTGTTCACGGCCATCCGCGGAGCGTTTCAAAGAACGCAACTCGACACGCAACGGAAACGCCACCTAAAAATATTCGATTTTGCTCGCCATAGGCGCGGCTTGAAAGTTGAGAGCTACAGGTCAATTGGTCGGAGGCAAGCAGGCGTTCGGCTCGCATCAAGTTTGCCTAGTTCTCATCATTTCGCCCCGAGAGGCAAGTTGCTCTCAAATATTGCAGTGCCCCTGCCATACCAAAGCGAATAATTTTACGCCGCGTGTTAAGTGTTCTTCATGACGTTCACCCACCCATGCTCGCGAATGCCGTCCAAAAAAAAAAAAAAGAAAAACATATCAAGTGTAGTAAAGCTGGAAGGACTGCACATACATTTTGTTGATTTTTTTAGTCCTCTCCGGTCTCTTTTTACCACAAATCTACAGCCGGTGAGAGACGCTTGTATTGGACGGTGGCTCGCGCATGGTTGAACGCTAGAACGCCGCTTGCATGATCGCGTCGTCTGAGCGTTGCAGACGTTTTTAGACGGGTGCGGAATAGCAGACAGACGGAGGCGAAAACGGACGCCGACGCGCAACTTTCGTGTTCGCGTCTAACGGGCATTGCAGACGACGATAGACGGCGACCGAACACGCTAAAAAGCGAAACACGCTTTTTAGCGTGTTCGGTCGAGCAGCCAAGCCAATCCAGTAGTAGAGGGCGGGGCTTAGGGAGGGTCATGACCTCCACCTAAATTGCGTCTAATGGCGTAAATATTGCAGAAAAACTTTTTTTTTTTTCATGAAAACTTAAAAAAAAAAAATACTTGTCCCAATCTATGCCCCTAAAATATAATTCCTTGCCAAGACCCTTTAAGCTGTCAGTTAAAGCTGCCACGACAGCAAACAGGGAAGAGCTGTCCTCTCAATGACCTGTGAGGTGCGTGTTATTCGATAGCTCACATCCACTCCAGAACGGTTTCCCAGCCACTGCTCCCATATTTCTCTTTGTGGTTGGAGTTGCGCAATCGGGACCATTGGTACTGTTACTTTCTTCGCGTTTTGGTAAACCCGATAACCCCTCCTGCAGTTTCTTCTGTTTGGGGCCACCATTGTGATAGCCCGATATCTGTATATTTCGTGGACACGGCAAATACTGTGAACGACTTTATCCTCGCGGGCTCCATATTTCGAGAATTCGGCGAATTGTGGTTTTCAGGAATATTTAGCGGGTACAAAATTTCGCGAATTTGGGTGCATGCTATGCATTTGTTACCATAGGAAAACATATTCGCGGGACCAATTTCTCGCGATAATGTACAATTCGCGAAATCCGCGAAAATGAGGTCCTCGCAAAATAAAATCGTTTACAGTATCTCCACACTGGCCACATGTACTGAGAGTAATTACCCAGGCAAGGTTGTCCGAACAAATTGCCTGGAGTGATCAAGATGTTACGATAAAGGTTGTTTATGTAGGTGCTTCTAGGCACGATATACACGTCTATATTTCTGTCACCGAGTGCCCAATAGACAGCCATCGATTAGAGCCTCTAGGGTGATAATAATTGTGCGAGGAAACATTTGATTTTTGTGGGTGGTTTTTAGCGCGACCGGAATACGTTTATCTGCCTTGCCGTCTTAGGAATGTCTTCAAGAAATACTGGAACAGACAGGCAGACTCTGCAGCGTGCGCCAGTCTTTGGAAGCGGGCTTCGTCGTTTCCATTGCAGCTCCTCCACCTCCCAGCAACCTGACGGCCGATCAGCTGTCTCGAACGAACCTCTCTCTGTCGTGGCGCCCCCCGTACCCGCCACAAGGTGTACTGGAGCGTTACCAAATCAAGTTCCGGACGAACGCCCTTCGCAGCAACTCTACCCTTCTCAACGTCGACCAGTACCAGTGCTCCTCCGAGAACAGCGACCTGGAAAGACACTGTTTCACTGTGTCCAACTTGCTGCCTGTCACTATCTACCGTTTCTCGGTGAGCGGAGTGTCTGTCGAGTTCTGCGTTTCGCTTCTGAAATGCTGTTCTTGCTAGCGGGAGTTATTGCCCTTGCAGTAGATAACGCAGCTGAAATAACAAACATAATAACAAATAGCTTGCTGGCCCCAACAAGACAGCTTCGTTGGGACAATCCCAAAGATAATGCCGTGTTGAGTTGATGTGATTTCATTATACTAGCCACCTCATTCATTAAAATAAAAGTTGTCAAGGCCTTGATTCCAAGAAATTGTACAATTAATAAAGCCACATTTTTACCTACCTGTATGGCACGACGATAATAAGTCGTTATGATTCATGCACGTGACGAGTATAGTATTAACAGAGTTATACTCTAAAGGTGAAGTTTGAAAAATGAGCAGGACCGCATCTTTTTTACCTCAACTTTTTTCTGAGGCTCATCATTTACGACTCGTTTGTCTGATGACTATACGGTCAATACTTTAGTATTGGATATTTTCAGTTGGGCGATAAGCGAACGTTTGTAAAATAGTGTTGGTTACTGAAGATTAGCTAAGAACAAGAAAAATATTAACAAAACTTGAATATAATGTGTTTCAGGCGGCAATTCTGACAACCCTTTCGTTATATGAAATGTATTTTTAAAGAACTGTTGCAATATATTAGATTAACAACCTAATGTGCCTTGGAGTCGCCCAGTAAGAAACGAGCTGGCAATTTAGATTAAAAAAAACCCCACAAATATCAGTCCTTCATGCTGTTTTCCTCGTGCTGAGATTTAGATCTCTGGCTTTCATTTCACCTGCTGCTTCCCTTTAAGCTATCTTGAATTTATGTCCATCCAGGTGAGGGCGTTCAATCGCGGCACAACACACGGTCCTTACTCGGACGAGCTGGAGATAGAGACAGGAGAGACGGGTGAGACTCGCTGCTCTCGTTAAGCTGTTGAAAAATATCTCACTCTTCGTACCCTTACTGATGTAAAGACTAAGATTTAGATAATCCTATTACGCCTCCGTTGGTGAAAATTGCTTATTCGACGGCTAATGATGGTAATCACTGGTGGCCATCTTGCTCAGAGCAGAGACTTCCTTATCGTCTTCCAAGAACTGTTGTCTCGATGCCGGGGTAAAGCTTTGGGGAAGCTCCTGTTCCGCCGCGGTCAGCAACAACGGACACATCTATGGCAGCCACATAATTAGATGCCACAAAATACCAATAATCATAATTTATAATTAGCTGGCGCGTATACTCTAAGAAATTCCTGCGGGTCTAGTCACCCGCAAAACAATCAAAGAGCCAATCTCTGCAATCTACGGAATCCGCTCAGTGGAACGTCCGTTTAGACCTCAAAATGAAGTCTGCGCTGTGGTATTACGCTATGCAAAGCGTCATGCTTTCATTGCTTAATGCCACGGCGGAGACTTAATATTGAAGTTTATACAGATGTTCCGCCTCATCAATCGCTAATCCGATTTCGTAGATCGCAGAGATTGGTTGTTCGAGTGTTTTGCGGGTAAGTAGACGCACAGACATTTCTTAGAATGTATGGTCTGCAAACGCCCCACGCTCTCGGGTTTGATGCAGTCAATTTTAGCTAGTTTTCGCTCAGGCGTATATTAAGACACTATAAGAAAGTGCTTCGTAAACTATTACTCAACTACCGCTGTGATTTCGTATATAGTAGAATGGTCATTATTTGAGCTGCTTATATTCTGGTACCACTAGTGCGACAGATGCAGATTTGTATCTAATGGCAAAACAAGTTTTTTTGTTTTTTTAGGCAACCCCAGCACTTTCCCACAGTATCACTTATACAAAGACCCACCGTTTAGTGGCAAGCTGGGGACGTTGTGTCTACGAGCGGTGAATGTGTTTTTTTTTTTTTTTCTTGTAGGAACTAGAGTAAAATATATTTTCCCAGTATTTCGGACAACGAACTAGTAACTCAAGCTTCTGACAACTTGAATAGGGCTTGGTCACTATAAACCCAAGAAACAAGATGATCTGTAAGGTTCCTGGTTGTCTTAATTAGCTGTAATAGCATCAAAGCCTTCGTTTTCAATGCCTTCATTATGGGTGTAATTAGGGCGGTGTACGATGTTCAACCATAACGTCCAGTTAAACTGCCATGCGGAGAGTTCTGGACCGAACCACCTGTGCCTTTCATTAACATCGCCTCTCACGCAACGCGCGCAGTTCCAGATGCACCCGGCAGCGTCCGCTGCGTGAGGAGAGAGGAAAACAGCCTCAAGATTCAGTGGGACGAGCCTCACCGAACGAATGGAATCTTAAAGCACTACCGGGTATGTTCTCTGTTCACAATGAGCCGTATCGTGCTTGTTTGCGTGTCTATCTACTGACACAACTTAGTTAATTAGTTAACTAGAAAAACGGGCAAAGTCCTCTGTAGTCCCACCCTAGTACTGCACTTTGCCTGTTAAACCAGCATAATTAACTAATTACGTAGCACTGTTACATCTCAGCGTCAGTCAAACACATTTTATTGGCCATGTGACACGTATACTTACGGCAGTTTGCACTATATAGATATCTTGGGAAGTGCAGAAAATAATTATGTTTGTATAATATTATTGGTCACCTTATTCCTGATAAACGACAAAACCCGGGTCGGAAGCGGAAAGAAATTCAGTTCTCTTTGATTCCAGTTTTCTTGTGGCCCTTCAGTTCTTTGTCACGCCTTGTTCGCACTATGAGGCCAATATAAGGTCGTCCTTGATACATATAAAATCGACGTATGGCTAAATAATTCTACATTCTGTAGCAATTTTCAAGCGCATTACCTCGTTACCTAGAAGCCACACTGTAAGAAATGCCTGCGCGTCTACTTACCCGCAAAACATTCAAAGAGCCAATCTCTGTAATCTACGAAATGAGCTCAGAGAATTACGAGGCGGAACATCTGTTTAGACCTAAAAATGAAGTCTGCGCTGTGGCATTATGCAATGCAAAGCGTCATCTTTGCATTGTGTAATGCCACAGCATTGCATAATGCAAAGCGTCATCTTTGCATTGCGTAATGCTACATTGCAGACTTCATTTTTAGGTCTAAACACACTCTAAAAAAGGTTTGTGCGTCTACTTTCACGCAGAAAGCTCGGAGAGCCAATCACCGCAACCTACGGAGGCAGCTCAGCGAATGACATTGTCGAAACATATGTTTAGACCAAAAAACGCAGTCTGAGTTGTGACATTAAGCAATGCAAAACGTCACGCTTGCATTGCTTAATGTCACAACTCAGTCTGCGTTTTTTGGTCTAACCATATGTTTCGGCATTGTCATTCGCTGAGCTGCCTCCGTAAGTTACGGTGATTGGCTCTACGAGTGTTGTGTGGGAAAGCAGATGCACGGGCTTTTTTTAGAGTGCAGATGTTCCGCCTCGTCGTTCGCAGAGCTAATTTTGTAGATCGCAGAGATTGGCTCTTTGAATGTTTTGCGGGTAAGTAGACGCGCAGGCATTTCTTAGCGTGAAGCTCGTTCGCCCACATTAGGATAGCTGTAGACGTTGCACCCTTGGTACCCGTTCTCGAAACAAAGATGCATCTGTGTAATCGTCGTCCCACAACCAGCGCCTGAGCGCCTGACTTGGCGTCGGAGACATGACACATCAGAAGCATCAAAGAATGAGTTCGCGTTTTCAGAAATGCAGATCTGATCCCAGACAGGTATGATGTATTCATAATTTTGGCATAGAAAAGAGACTATTAGACACGTTGGTTTTTTCGAGGTGTGTTGAATAACCTTTTTCATTTTCCTTTTCTCGGTTCAGGTGAACGTATCTCTGACACATTCGTTCAGCAGTTCGGTGAATGCCAGCACCCGTCCCAGGGCGGTGGTTCTCGAAGATCTCACCACGAGAGAGTACAACCTGAGTGATCTCTATCCGGGAACCACCTACAGAGTGTGCGTGCAGGCCAGCACAAGCGCCGGCTTCGGTGACGCCGTATGCGACCTTTTCTCCACTAGAGCTGCAGGTAAAACTTGCGACTCAGAAAGGCTATTGTCTGTATTCTCCCTCACTCTACCCTGTTTTCGGTTGCTTGGTAAGTTTTCGTTTATCGCTTCAACTTCTGCGAATGCTTTTAAATTAGAATTGTTGGAAAGAAGAACGCTGCAGATAAACTTTTTAGATAATAATGTTGTTTTAACGATGTTGAAAAAATAAGAGATTAGACTCGATAAATCAAACGATACTGCCATTATGAACAATGCACAAGTTGGCTCTCTTCCTGTCATGGAACGATCTGGGTACTTCATTCCAACTGAGGTCGATTCGTATCTGCAACATGAACCGAAGAATTCCTTTAAATGTTTTCACCTAAACACATACTCAGCAAAAAATAAGACCGATGACCTAGCCTTTTTTTCCAAGTTGAACTTCAGCTTTGACGTGATAATGTTCTCTTACACCTGGTATACCGACAACGCTGATGGCTTTACGCTGTGGACGTATATAGTAACTATACTGTCTTTATCGCAGCGCACGTCGGGGAGGGTGTGTGTGTATGGTTATAAAATATAATATAGACTGTGAGATAGTATCAAGGTTTACGCGCGAAACCCTCGATTACGAAGTGCTAACTCTTCGTGCAAAAACCACTATTTTTTATGTTATTTACCGACCGCCCAGTGGGAAATACAGTGTATTATTGGATTTTCTGGAGGTTTCTAGTTTATGTGAATGATAGTAAATACAACGTGATATGTGGAGTGGATTTTAATATAAATATGTTAGGTGATACCAACAGGGCAAGAGAAATAGATGTAGTTATAAAAACCAAAGGATGCCTCAATGTAATAACTGAACCCGGACGTATTACCGCATCTACCCAGACATTGATTGATCTCTTTTTTAATATTTCAAATCTGAAAACATTAAATCCAGAATTATAAATTCCAATATAAGCGACCACTATCCGGTATTTCATTCTGTAGCAGGTAAGCACAATATCAAAGACAATTGCAAACGAAACCGTTTTTTCCGAGACATTTCCACACAACGTTTAGACGCATTTAGGCGAGAACTATCCGTCATAAGTTGGGATTTTTATTTAATTTAAAAGATTCTAATGAAGCGTACGATGCCTTTTTGAGGGAATTTAAACGTTGATACGCCCATCACTTTTCCTTATAAGACTTTGAGATTATTCAAAAAATACGTAAGCCATGGATAACCCCAGAAATTGTAAAAGAAATTCGTATAAAAAGCGCCCTATATTAAAAATTTCTAACATCTCGGGACATAAATGATTATAAAAGAGCTGTGCAACGGTTTTAACGTTGAAAGAATTGGCATTTTCTACTTTTGACATTGTTCACATTGTCACAAAGGACAGAAAACACACCTCCTTGCTTCGAAATGTTGCGATTCCGCCGCGTAATCGCGAGGCGAAAATTAGGAAAATCCTTGACTTGCAGCCGCGAGCGGCGGCCACGAGAAACACGCGGCATGACGTCAATGGGGCCTTGTAGAAAGATAGCAAGTTGTGCGAACGCCTGCTCGATAAAAGGTAGCTTTTCTATAAATCTTGTCGTTCCAACATAAATATAAGTGCGTCGAAAACCTACCATCATCGACAAAAATGTTATTATACGAAGTTTTAGCGGCGCCATCTATCCTAGGTCCACAAAACCGTCAGCTCTATCTGCTACCGCGAACAGCGGAACAGCCGCCAGAAGCCGTAGGCCTAGGGGGACAGGGCCGGACGGGTATGGCCGGACCCAGGTGAGACTTTCCTCCTTTCACCATATTGTTCGCGCTGCACTCGCCAGCACGTGGTTACGCGGTGGCGAGCAGATGAGTTCTAGCTGCTGACTGATGGCTCTAGAGAGAGAGTGTTAAGTAACGAAGGATTTTGTTAGAAAGAAGCACGATTTTTTTTTAGAAAAGTACCTCTCTACAGTTGCGGCGGCATTGTTTTTTTTGTTTTTTTTAATCTGGCTATGTTCGTGTCTGCATTTTTGGGCGTCTTCCGCCCCCGCGCCCGGGGGGTTTCGAGCAGCCGCGGGGCTCGGTGGGGAAGAGTCGGACCCCGGTCGTTAAGAAACGTCTCGGTTTTCAAGAGGCGGTGCGGAGAGAACACGTGCTTGCAATGGAGCTGCTTGCGGCTTTTAACCGAGTGTGCCTGTATATAGAGGGTTTCGCCGCGTAGTGTAAAATTGTCGCTTTTGCGCGATGTAATAATTTAGCTGTTGGCGCCAGCCTGACTGAGAAAATTGCAGAGACCGACACTACAAGGAATTTGGATTTGGCGGTTGGAGCGTCAGGCTGACAGCTCGCCGACCATTGGGCGACAGTGTACCACGTGGGAGTGGTGAAATTTGAAGTGATTGATCCGTCTCTGGAGGAAAAGGAGGCCCCTACGAGTCTAGAAGAGGGCTGCCGAGAGGATTCTCGGGGATTCGGCTTTTGAGATCAGGCAGACTTGGCTCTTGAGACGGGGGGACTAAAGTATGAGTTTTAATTTTGGGAGTTTTGTCATGTAAATTACCGTTGACGTGTTGTCGTTTTGTTTTGAAATAAACGTGGCATCGTAAACCAACCAACGTCCTAATGTGTCCAGCGGGATCGAACAACTTTTAGTTTTTTTTTTCTTATTTGACTTCCCGGGGGACTTCCATCGGGGGAACATCATCATCGGTCGTCACCATCCTAAATGACCGGGCCCCTTCTCCCTCCGAAAGTTGACTGAGAGCTTCACCGGAACCCCGCGCCACCCCCATTGACGTCACAGCGCACGTGACTCGGGAGATGGTGAAGGAGTTGAGAGGAGCAGAAAACCTCAATCTTTGTACATTTTTTAAATAAAAACTAGTACATGCAGACAAAAGGTCTTTTTTTTTTGTTCTTTACCTCAGAAAGGTCGAGACACCAATTCCCAAATTATTTAAGCAAAACACTGAAACTGTTGCACAGTTCCTTCAAGGTTTTCAAGTCTTTTCGCAACAAATTATCAAAAAGCTTGCGCTCTGCAAAAGCAGCGTATCTCGAAAGTTCATTTCTTTCCACTTCGGGTAACAATAAAATAACTTGGAAAAAAATTAATTCAGTAATAAATCGAAATACATTTCCAAAACCAATTGAAACGCTTATAAAGGGTGATCGGCAGCTTAGTGGCTCAGAAATAGCCAATGAATTCAATGACTTCTTCGTACATATTTCTGATAACATAGTTTCCAGCACGTGTGGAGAAGCTTCTTTGCCTTCCAAGCTCATAAACAGTAACTCAGTTTCCCTTAGCCCTACGGACGAAGCTGAGGTAATCTCAAAGCAGGGATGGGCAGTATATCAAATACAAGTATTTAAAATACGTATTTCAAATACTTTGTGTGTTTTGCATTTGTATTTAATTACAAATTGGGTAATGTATTTGACGTGCGTATTTAAATACTAAAACTTGGGTATTTCAAATACAATTGTAATTAAATACAATTTTGTGGGCGAAAATACATCTCTCAAATTTATTGTCACTGTCCAGAGCAGGAAGAAAAGTACGTTCTGCACCGAATGCAGTGTGTCCCAATCAAGCACAAGCGTTTAGTGACTTTTTGATTACGGAGCTAGTCTAAGGCAAGAATAGTGACGAAATCGACGTTCACAGGCAGCCGGGCTAAATAAGTGCCTGTGACAGCTTGTGATGCTTTCCAGCCTGATTTCCATCCATATTTTTGCCTGCAACATTCTAAATGCGCGGGTCGTCCAGATTTTCGTAACTGGTCCGAGTTGCAACAATAAAAAATTCCCTAGCTAGTGCTGCGCGTTTTGGTCGTCTCAGTTCTTTGTTGGTCTATACCAAAATGTAACCGACAAAAAAAAGCTGCTTGAAGCTCTGTACTTTTTTAACCTATTACGTCCAAGCTGATTACATTTTTTGTGATTATATTTCTATTACGTTACTAGAGCCTCGCACACTAACTCCCGAGTGTGCGATGCAAAATTAAAATGAGATACCCAGAAACCTGTTGCAGGTTCCCTCAAGTCGCTGACAAAAATTTTGAGGAATGTATTTGGAAAAGTATTTGAAGGAGACCAAATACATTTGGTTGTATTTGTTTCTTGTACTTAAATGCTTTTTTGGAAATGTAATTAGATCTGTAATTAAATACGTTTTTGACGAAGAATGTTGTATTTGTATTTCGATACATATTTGCATGTATTTTGCCCATCCCTGTCTCAAAGTACAGGCAATTAAAAAATAGCTGCAGTGCGGACTGTGATAACATTCAGGTTCGCCCTATCAAACACGTAATAGATCTGATAGTTCCTTGTTAGTCGCATATCTTCAACAGGATTGTTCCCAAAACGTATGCAAGTCGATAGAGTGTCTGTTATACACAATAAAGGCAACAAATATGATCTTGGTGACTATAGGCCTATTTCTATTCTGTCTTTTCAAAAGGATTGGATAAGCTATTGCATGGTCGTTTGATAGCATTTCTTAATAAACATGATGTGCTCATTCCCAGTCAATTCAGCTTCCGTAAAAATCATTCTACTGAATGATTAGCTACTCAAAAATAAGTAATTTTACAGAGCTTTGAAGAGAGGAAAATTGTACTCGGGGTCTTCATTGATAACACAAAGGCTTTTGATCTTCTTACCCACAAAATACTACTTCATAAACTTGAGCGCCTACGGTGTGCGAGGACACGCCCTTTCTCTGCTCAGTTCTTATTAACAGTACAGACATCAATCTGCTAACATTAATGGACGCTGCTCAGAAGTAAAGCCTAATCTCTTGGGTGTTCCGTGGGGAAGTATACTCGGCCCCTTTCTTTTTAATGTTTATATTAATTATATAACCAGCATTAATTCGAACGCAAAGTTTGTTACATACGCAGATGATACAGCCTGTTTTGACCTGGTAAACAACCCGATGATGTTATAACAAATAGCAAATTATACTTTGTTAAAACTGCGCGAATGGGCGTCGACAAACTTCTTGAAGATAAATACTGCAAAAATCAAGGCACTCCTTTTTCGCCCGAAAAATAAAGTAATATATATTTCAAAACAGGTTCGATACAACTCATGCATTATTGAATTAACAAACTCGTTTAAAACCCCTGGAGTGTTGTTTACGAAGGACATCACTTGGGGGGAATAAGCAGATAGATTCTGTTACGTCTAGATTAGCGCAGCCAGTCCGTCTAGTACGACAGCACAGCTCCATACTTCCTACAAAAGATAAATGATTACTGTACAACTCTCTGTTTTACTCGCATATTAGTTATTGCTATCTTGTGTGGGGCACAGACACGATTACCAACCAAGAAAGAATTCACGTATTGCCGAAGAAAATGTTGCGCTCCATTTGTAATACCTCTTAGGATTGCCATGCTCGCCATTGTTTAAGAGACTTTCAATTATAAAAATTTTTTATTTGTATTCTTTAAGGTGAAGTCATATCTTTCGATCAGAATTAAAAAGTACGTAATACGCAAAATCTAGAATCAATGGCTTCATTAACTAGAAATGATCCCGTTTACTCAACCCGTCATAGCGAATACTGGAGGGTGGATACATGCAGAACTAATCACGGGACCCAAACGCTGAAATTCTCCCTTCCTAAAACTCTGAACAATCATATTGATAACAAAATAGATTTGATCAATACTACATTATACAACCTAAGGTCAATGAGTTTGTAGTTTTATAGTGTTCTGCTTGCTAAGATGGTGTTTACATCTTTCAACATGAAAGAGATATTTTGTGTATCTCAAGGAGGTGATTATTCTTGTTTTTGTTTACTTGCTTTTTTGGTGCTTGATGTAGCATGTTTGCGGTCGAAATTGCTCTATAATACATGCTTTTTGAAACTTTTTAGATTCTGATATTCTTTGACAAAGATGCGTTTGGAGTGTTTTCGTTCTGTTTCTGATATTGTTTGTTTACCACGTAAAGCAATTAAGTGCATGTTTTAGAAATCTCTAGATATTTTATTTTGTGACATGCTTTCTCTGAGATGGTTTTATTATTTTCATTGCTGCCACTATAAGGGGCCGAGGGCTCGTCAAGCTGCCTGTGGGTAGCTTTTTCCCTCGGTCTCCGCCATCAAGTGAACGGAAATAAAAGAATATATATAAACGGTTTGCAAGCGGAATGCTGCAAAAGGTCATTTACTTTGCTTTACTGATCGGCGCTTGATCTTCTGTCAATTATATGCGGCAAACTTCGACTCCAGTTGCGTGTTCATAACGGAGAGAAATACTAAAGGAACAGAAGACAACAAAACTAAAAGCGTCTGACACAGTTTGCTTAAGCATTTATTATTTATTTCAGTACGGATAAATGTGTATTGTACCATTTTTTTCTTATCTTTGTAACAAACACACGTTCTTGAAAGGGATCATTGTAATCTCTGAGCGTTTCAAGATACTATAACTTCATCAATGGGTATATCTCGGTGATTTTTGATGCGTCATATTAATTGTTTGTTTCATGTTCTTATAATACGAAACAGAAGTTTCAATAAGCGACTTATATGTCACGTATAGTTTATTTGTCTGTTCTAATTTATGGGACCTGGCATAATTGCTTAGCAATGAACGTTCACCAAACTCTCCGCAGATCCTGTGGTACCAATGGAACCAAGGGTGAATGGCATTGTGAACAGCACCATCAACATAACCTTGAATTCGGTCGACTTCGTGAAGGGCCCCATAACGTAAGCTTACCGATCTTTCCTTAGGATGCGCTCGTTGTTCGTGTGCAGCAGGCGCTGGAATGTAACTTTGGTAGCCTTGCAATTGCACGTGATTTTCCGCTCGTGCAGAGATTTAGTAATCTGCGGCGGCCAGATACGTTCTTTACTGTAGCCTGTTCCTGTGTAGATGCCTGTTCCTGTTAACAGGAGCTAAAAGGCAACACAAGAAAAGCCACCTGCATTCGCTTCGCTCAAAGATACTTCCGTCATTTTTCAACGGTGTCAAATAAACACGAGGCCCATGGCACTATTTCTACTGTCGACAATCAAACAACAAGATATCACGCCAAATCGTTAGCAGTCATTGTCGCAAGGTATGAGCACAGATGCTTCGCTGTTCTGAATATTTTTTTTCGCCTGTGCAAGAAAATATAAAAAGATCAGTACTGCGCACGTGCAGTACGCACCTCTTCTGTAGGCCATGATTATGATGTACTTGTAAAGAAGGGACTGCTGAGAAGTCTTATATGTCTAATATGTGTTTCGTACGACGAATAAAAAACTGTGAATAAACAGAGACACCTGTCCACAGTACTGAACTGCGGCTCTCGGGCTAAGAATGTTCTCTGTTTCTTTTTTTACAGAGCATATTATGTTTTTGTAGTACGAGGATCTCAGGACGTTAAAGGACCGGTTGTTCCTGTCAACTTCAGCGACGCCCAAGAGATGCAACTGGGTTACTACACGGCGGCGAAGTTCAGTCACAAGGAGGTCCGGGAGCTGTCCGACTTTGTCCTGGGTGCAGGAAACGTCGTCGGCGGCTTCGAGAACCCGCCTCTCAATGACGCGACGCCTTATCGGATCGGTCTCCTCGTAGCGAGCAACTTTTCTGGTGTAAGGCACCCCCCACCCACACACGCATAAGCTCTGCAGGGGCATTATGTCAAACGTAGTTTAAAGGTATTAATCAACCACGGTCCTCCGTTTCATTCTCCATGAAAAAATTCCAGCTCACGTAAATTAAAAAAAAAAAAGATTTCTTTTTTATTAGAAGATGAATATAATCTTTCATTATTGTTAAGGGTTCTTTACATGTTATGAACATTAATTGAAGTTGTTGCTCAATATTTTCTCCAAGTTATAAATTTAGGAACTCGGAAGATTGAAGAAAAAAAAAAGCCTTGGTTTCCTGACCTCATAAAAAACTAACAAAATGATATAAAATAAACCGTTCATTCAATATCAGTTCTATTTAGAAATTATAATAAAAAAATTGGTAATACTCCACCTTGAAATTTTCATCTTGCCACTATTTAACATGAAATATTAAAAAGACCACCTAACATTTAGCTTAATTTAGATAAACACTGCTCAAGGTACCGTGTAGGTTGCAGGTTATATATAGGCACAAACCTATAACCTACAAAACGGACATCAGTATATTTTTTTTCTTCTTCATGCACTAGCGATTGCAGGAGCTATAGACAATGTCACCAAGCGTTTCACGTATGCGTGACGCCGTCATAATTTTAGTTTATAGGAGGCAGGCGGCAGCGCACAAGACGTCTTGAGCCCTTTCGTGCTTTGCACGCGCAGAGCTCCAGCAAGGTCGTCGCACGTCCAGATAGACTAAAGTTCCCAGCATGAATGGCGGCAGCAGTGGCGTAGCCCAACTGGCTGGTACAGAGGCTGGTGAGATCGGTCTACTGGATAAAGAAGAAGAGCATTCATCCTCTCAGCTTTCAGCTGGAATAAGCGACCTCGTGGTGGGGCACCACATGGTCGCTTATTCTCGTTGAAGCGGATATTGTTGGAGTTTGGCGTTTCCCGTCACTGCAGCCATTGGACACGAACCTCAACTCGAGTCTTCTTGATTGCAATCGAGCTCAAGTCAATTTCTCAGGCAGTACTTGTGTAATTCAGACATAGTCAGTATGGGCTGATCCCCGTCACTACGTCAGCATCAGAATCTCCTGACTATAGGGTGTATTCCCTGGCGGCCATAGCAGAGTGCGAAGCTGCTCAGCGGGTGCTGACGGCGAGCTTCCACGGAGCATTTCCAACGTGCATTCCGCACCCTTAATTTGCCGGTCTTGGGAGCATATGAGTGTGAGCTAGTTTTGAGCATGCCCGGTGAAAGTGCTCTCAAGTATGGCGCCCAGTGATTGAATATCCACTATACTTTATTAGCACGTGTTTCAGTACGCTTGGGCAGAGTGCCTAACGTTGGAACACAATATCCCTTCATGGCCCTTCAGTATTGTCACTAATAATTTATATTTATTTACAATTGAGTTTCCCCGCGGCAAGAGGCACACTCCCTGCGTCGTACAACTAATGGCATTCCGCGTAGATCTAACTGGCATATAGATCGGGGATCACGGGATATGAACTCCATGTAATTGCTCAATTTTGCTGGGAGTCTACGAGGCAAAGGGTACTTCCTAACTCTGGTCATAAGGGCCCATTGATGTACTCAAATAATTTACGCAAGATATTTATGATTAGTTTTTTATAGCCACCATTTTTGTTACGATATGTTAAGTATTTCTCTAACGCCAAAAATGGTAAATCTCGCCATCTTGGACGTTTCTGTTTGTCTCGCAACCCTGCTTTCTCCTCTCGACCTTTGCCATTCCCGGAGCTAGAAGGAAGCGAGAAAGGCTACGCCAAGGCGCTCTTTGCTTGCAATGGGAGGCGAGAGGAAGAAAGGCACATGGGGCAACAGAGCGGGCGACTGCTCTCGTGCAGGCAACCTTTGGCACATATCCTTTCCCAATCCTCTCCGTCAGGTGTCGCCCTTTAATTGCAAACGCTCTCCAGGATTTGAGTTGCGCCCACCCTCACTAGAGTCTCCCAAGCTCACGCAGTCCTCGTGTCCAAACCATAAGCCGCGCTAGACTGTCCTCAGGGACGTGCTTTCGATCACACAATTACGTAACAAAGCTTCGCGAAGGCAAGACTGAAAAACATAGTTCTCACTTACCCTCGCAATTTCATCGCGACCAAGAAGCTTCTAAATCAGTGGTGGTCCGTGCGAGTATACTTGGGCCAGGCTAGGACAAGTGCACCTCTGTAAAGTCATGAACATTCCACCCCGAAAATTGTTTCACGACTCCTTCTCAGTGTCAGTTTCGATAAGATATTCATCCCTGGTATTCTCTTTCAGGAGGTTCGCTACGGATACCGATTGTCTGAACCTGTGGTGGGTGAGTTGCCGATAACGTTAAGTACGCGGCCCACTGCAAAGCGCTGTTTACGCGGTTCAATCCTTTACTTCGCAGTGGGAGAGACGGATGAAACTTCTGAGATCGGCATAGTTCTGGCGGCGGTGCTGGCGCTTCTTGTACTACTGGCGTTAATGTCCGCTGCCCTAACTTGCTTCTGCATCAGGTGAGTGCTAGATGGACGATATTTCCATACATAGGGCAGAGTAGCTGTACCCCATATCGTGCTTTGCAGGAGGCGTTCTGGGCCCGATTCACAAAGAAAAAAGAGCGCCCAGGATCCCCTTTCACGGCTGTCGAAACGTTCGTATTATATAATTTGACTATTTTTTTTTCTTTTTTTGTTTTTGTTTTTCGGGTAATGACCAGGGTTCCGTGTTTTTGGTTTTCAGTGGTTTCTTTTAAATTTGACCAAACTTGTAGGGACGGTTCAGATTTATTTTTAATTGTATGAATTGTAGTTTTATTTCCCGGTGAACAAAACTGTATTTCGGAACTTGAGCACACGCATGAAATGCGCAAAATAAAAAATCCGCGCGATGTTCGAGGACACAAATAATAAGAAAGCACCACTCTAGCCTAAGTATAAACAAATACGACCGCAGGAGTGTTTTCTGTCTTGAGGGTGCCGCCACAACATCGCCGCACGAGTAGATGGGTCTTCCCCTTCTAGGGCGTGCTTGGCTGTAATCTTGACACACGACGAAAATTCAGTCAAGGATAGCGCTCTACGCGCAGCGATGAGCTTCCACCACGCCGGCCACGTCGACGAACACCACCGACGCCATGTTTTTTAGCAAAGCAGGAGCCGCGACCGGCACCCCCCAGCCGCAGTCTGATCTTCCTCTCGCTTCATCCGTAATTATGCTCCAAAATGTGGATCAGAATATTATTTAACAAAACATTTAAGAAACATTCGCCAGCTATTTAGTGTTTATGATCGCGGTGCTGGTAAGGTAGGCTATTATCCAATAGGCGACGTGGATTTGGCTGACGTGCATCGGCACCGCGAATACATCGCCATGAAAAGGCAGAGAGCTTTCGAAGGAAAGAAGCTTTTCTTTTAAACGTTCTCTAGCAAATTATTTTTTTTGGGTCTCTATTTTAGAGCGCAGCCTTGGGGCGCCCGTTCCCGCTTGAACGGCGTCGTCGTCGCCGTCGCCGTCGGCGTAACCGCGCGGTGCATTATGGGACGCGTGACGCCACTGATGACGTCATCAGTGACGTCATTGTAATGACGTCATCACGATGAGGTCATCCTCATAGTCATCGTCATCATCACGATGACGACACCCTCATCGTCATCATCATGATGACGTCACTGATTACGCCATCAGTGACGTCATTGTGGTGACGTCATCAGTGACGTCGCCAGTGATGAGGTCATCGTCACGGTGACGTCACTGATGACGTCATCGTCATGTCTGACGTCATCACTGACGATGGCGATGACCTCATCACGATGACGTCACGTGATCCCCATGATGTCACGTGACTCCCGTGAGTTCGCGTGACTTCGGTGAGGCCACGTAACCACCGTGAAGTCACGTGACCCCGGCGACGTCACGTGAACCCCGTGAGCTCACGAGGGTCACGTGACCGCACGGTTACACCGACGGCGACGGCGACGCCGACACCGACGCCGCTCGGAGGGAGGAGGGGTATATGCTCCCTCCGGTACCCATCCCTACTCCTCCTCAAGAGCTGCGTTCTAATTAGGGATGTCGCGAACCACCCTAGGTTCGATTTCGAAAGGTTTCGATATTTGCGAAGCGAACTGAGGTTCGATTTCGAAAAATTTCGATATTTTCGTACCGACCGAGGTTCGAATTCGAAAAATTCGCAACTTTTGACCACAGCGGAGTTTCGAATTCGAAAATTTTGAAGCTTTCACGCTTTCTAAAATTTCGAATTCGAATATTTCGAATATTTTTTTACTTCAGGTTCGATAAATTCGAAGATTTCGATTTCTTTTGGAAAAAAAAATTCGAAAACTTCGAACGCTTCGAATTTTTATAGACATGAAGTTCGAACAATTCGAAGATTTCGAATTTCTTTCTGCATAAAGTTCGAAAAGTTCGAAAATTTCGATTCTCTTTTAACGCTAAACTAAAAAAAAAAAAAATAAAAGACTTGGAAGATTTTGAGTTTCTTTCTAATCCAAGTTTTCAAAGTTCGAAGTCCGATTTTCAAGTTTTTCCACAGTTTCAGTTTCAAATAACGTTTTCACGACTCACTGGTTTTCACAAAATTAAGTTTAGAAAAGTTAGGGTGTGATATCTAGATTCTGCGAAGTTGGTCAGGCAATTAAATGAGACGACGAGTGCCCCGGGCGTGCTAGAATATTTGCCAGTGCAGAATTGTGACCGCCAGCCCCGGGGGGGGGGGGGGGGGGGGTTTAACCTGCATTAAGCAGTAGTGATTTTATGAACACACTGTTTTACGAGACTCATCCAGTTCGAAACGGCCAGGGGCGAGCAGGAGGTTGAGGCTCAGAAGAACCTTGAAGCGACCTGGCAAACTAGCTCGCCACCCCTTGCACGCTGGTAGTAATCCGATCCGGTGAAGTTTATAATTGTCCTGGAGGTTTATTTTCTGGGACGGAGGAATCGCCTCGCAAAAAGCACAAAAGCAGACACAACTCGAGGTCGAGGAGCGTTCTACCATACAAGTGGCGTCGGAAGAGGAAAAACGGGGGGAAAGAGGATAGCGGTAGGGGGGGGGGGGGGGGGGGGGGGGGGGGGCTTCAGCTTTTTTCTTCCCCTTGCAGGTATTTCGGACTGTTAAAGAAAACAATACGGGGAAAGAGGGCGTGGTCGAGCTTATTTTAATCTGAAACTATTTATGCATATGTGTAGCTACTGTCGCTCTTCACTGCATAAAAGGTTGCGTAGATGGTCATAGTTAGAAACTCGTTGTCAGAAGGCACTACTCGTCACATGCTTAGTGGTTTGGAAGTTCAAAGCTGTCTTTTCGACCTAAATACCTGTGCCGATAATTAAAAAAAAAAAAAGTATAATTGCGGGAATAAAAAGCAGGAGAAAAAACAAACAAGAATTCGTCGGAAGTGTTCTATTCTTGCATCTTCAGAGGTTCAGAACTTCGAAACAAGTTTCTTTTACCAAAATGTGTACAGGCTAAAAGAAACACGTCCCAGGAACGTGAAGCGAAAAAAAAAAAGTTTTCTTTTAATGACGTGCTGAACTTAAACACTATTAGATATGTACTGTCTGTGGTGTTAATTTAAATGCGATACCTCAAACAACTTAGACGAAAATAAATATCAAGTTTAGGTCATAATTGCATGGAGATACATTCTTAAAAAAGTATACCATAAATAGCTCCGGCTGCAGCGTGCTTCAAATCTGGCACAAATGATAATCGTCAAAAACCCGTCGTCCTTCCTCGCCCCTTCGGGGATTTATTACTTTAAACCTAAGCATGCCAGAACATTGAAATAAACGACATTGTCTTTCGTAAGGAACGCAGCACCGCGTGTAAAAGTTCGAGAAAAAAAAATTACGAATGTACCCCACTACTTGAAATCAAATGAAACCGTCCGCCGGTCTTTTGAAGTTCGACGAACGTCGAACGTTTACCCTAAAAGTTCGAAGTTCGTCGAACTTCTGACATTTCAGAATTCGAAAGTTCGAAACTTATCGAATTTTCTTGATAAATAAGTTCGAAAATTCGATATTCATCGAATTTTTTGGTCAGTCAAGTTCGAAAGTTCAACAAGCATCGAACCTTGCAGCGCAATAAGTTCGAAAGTTCGAAAAAGATCGAATTTTTTAGCGTAATAAGTTCGACGGTTCGAAAAGCGTCGAAGTTCTTAGCTTAACAAGTTCGAAAATTCGACCTCCGTCGAATTTTACGATATAGACAATTCGAAAAATCGAAATCTTTCGAACCTTTCGAACCGCTTGATTCGATCATCGAAACTTCGATTCGAAAAAAGTTCGCGGCATCTCTAGTTCTAATTCGGTGTTACAGGGGGTTGTAAGCGACTTTAATTTTTCTGTTTGTGTTTTCTCTTCACACCTTTCACGACGTGCGATAGATGAAATTCGATTTCAAAATCGTTTGATGAACCCTTTAACATTTTTTTTCTTGCATTTTCATATTTTTCGCGGGAACGATTTAGCTCACGTTTTGATAAACACTCTGTCTAACACCTCGTTTCGTTGACGATTTTGCTTTCAGGGGATGACAGCTGCCTTTCGGATATGCGCATGACACTGAGCATGGACACCGGCGACTTCCTCAACATGACGAAAATCCCGAAGGAGGGACTACCCTCAAAACCAGCGCCTGCGACGGAGCTCCAAGAGTATGTCACCAATGGACAGGCACAAGACATGGACAAATACGCAAATTTCGAGATCGCCTAAAAATCTCCCGCAGCTTTTTAGAGTGCATCCCTTACACACCTTCGTGAGCAAAATAACAGTTTGCAGAGCCATATGCTAGCGTGCCTCGCGTTTGGTAGCCCATGCTGTTTTTTTGTTTTTGTTTTTGTTTTTTAACGCAACGCTTTACCCACCATTTTCTTTTTGTTCCACTGGGCACACCTGCAGAGCGAGATCCATCTTCCCATCATCAAGCTCGTCACTCTCGGCAGAAAATAAAATTTAGTGTTTATGTAGTTCATATGGCATTCGTCATCTCTGATGCCGTTGCAGAAACAGTGCTCGTTCTTCGACCTTGCACTGGCCTTTCTTGATGCACGTGACACCGACAAGAAATTCCAGCAGAGGCCAACATAGGCCTGACGTCATGCTCGCACATGCGATTCCATTTTACCAAGATGAATACAACAACCCCCTTCCCCCCTTCCCCAAATACAAAGTTTGAGTAAACGACCTATGTTTCCAGTTGCTCCTGATCTCTTACTGGCTAAAAAAAAAAAACACCTTGTTTCGGAAATTGCTGTTCATATTGTCGTTTAAATGCGAGATAATTTTGCACTGTCTTCTATTGCAATGCCGCGGGACAGATTCATTTCATTTCATTTATTTACTCTCAAGGCCGAAGCATTACAAAGAGGAGTGGTGAAGCAAAAAAAAAAAAAAAATACATGAACATAAACACAGCCGGGGGATTACAAAAAATGGTTGCAAACGGCACTTTTGAAACGGTCGGTGTCAGTAATTGAAGCGATGGAGGCGGGGAGGTGGTTCCAGTCTGTGCAGGTTTTGGGAACGAACGAGTGGAAGTGCGAATTGGCTGCTTGGGACGCCAACCTTGAACTGATGGTCGCTGCGGGAAGAAATGTACGATGGTGGCAGAAAGAGAGAGTCACTGAGTAGAGAATTGAAATGATAAACCTTATGAAAGAGACAAAGATGAGATAGTTTACGACGCAGTGAAAGATCGGGTAAGCTAAGATTAGATTTCATAGAAGTGACACTGGCAGTTCGAAAGTAATTTGAGATGAAACGCGCGAAACGGTTTTGAATGGCTTCTATTTGAAGAATAATGGAGTTAATATGAGAGTCCCAGATGATGATGCATATTCAAGCTTTGACCTCACTAAAGTTTTATAAAGTATGAGTTTCAAGTTAGTTGGGGCTAAAGAAAAATTACGCCGTATATAACCGAGTGCGCGATTAGCATTACTAGTGATGTAGTCGACGTGATCTTGCCATGAAAGGTTAGCAGAAAGGATAATGCCAAGATATTTGTAGGACGAAACTTGCGTTAGGCGAACACCGTAAAGTAAGTAGTCACACGGTAGGATGGGATTTGAATGACGTGCAATTCTCATTGACTTACACTTGGCAGTTTTTAAGTTTCATTAGTCAGGTGTCACACCAAAATGAAATGTTATCGAGGTCAAACTGAAGAGCATGATGATCAGCAGGTTCCAGAATTTTGCGATAAACAACGCAGTCGTCAGCGAAAAGTTTTATAGATGAAGAAATGCAGCTAGGTAAGTCGTTAATATAAATAAGAAAAAGCAAGGGCCCTAGCACTGACCCCTGCGGGACACCGGACGTTACAGGACAGTGAGGGGAGTTATGGTCATTGGCGGTTACATATTGCGTGCGATTCGACAAGAAGCATTCTATCCATTTAAAAATATTAGGGTCCATGTTAAGTTTACTTAATTTATAGAGGAGCAGACTATGACAGACACTATCGAATGCTTTAGAAAAGTCGATGAAAATGCAGTCAACAGTGATTAAGTGATCTGCAGCAGAGAATAAGTCGTTAGTAAAGGCGAGTAGTTGAGTTTCACATGAGTAATTTTTTCTGAAGCCGTGTTGATGCATACTAAAAAAAGAATTAGTTTCGAGGAAGGATACCATATGACAGTATATGACATGTTCCATGAGTTTGCACGGTATACTGGTTAATGAAATGGGTCTATAATTATTGAGACAATGAGTGTTACCTGATTTGTGCAGAGGAACCACCTTTCCCACCTTCCAGTCGTTTGGGAGCGTACAGGATTCTAATGATTGTGCAAAAATCTTCGACAATATTATATATGAATACACTTCGGTGTTCTTCAAAAATTTGGGGTTAATGCCATCATCACCTGGAGAAGAGGAAAGCTTTATATTTTGAATTAATTTCATCACGCCTGCCCAGTCAATAACTATTGGATCCATCGGAATAAAATCATAAACCGGAACATCGGGAAACACACATGGCGTGCTGTTAACAAACGACGATGAAAATGCAGAGTTCAAAACAACGCAGCAGTTTTCCCTAGGAACGACCGATTCGCTATCCGTAGCAAGTTCAATTGGTTTCCTTTCACTTCCGCTCACAACGTGCCAAAACTTAAGCAGATTAGTTTCCAGTAGCGATGGAAGAGTTTGATTAAAAAAAGTATGTTTGGCGAGAGACAGTGCATGTGCGTACTCATCCTCTGCACAATGATAAGCTGCCCATCACTCTGGGATCATTGATATCTTGGCACGTCGAAAAAGGCGCTTTTTTGTTTGACAACCGTTTTAATGTTGGTGTATACCAAGGTGGGGGGGGGGGGGGGGGGGGGACTGTGTATTTCTAATTTTACGAAGGGGTATGTAACGGCTAGTAAGCTCAGTTACTTTCGATTTAAACATACACCAATTATCTTCCAACGATTGCTCAGAAAATGTTTGAAGAAAGTCTGATAAAAATATCTCGAGTTCATTATTAATCCCGGTGTAGTCAGCCCTACTATAGTCTCTAAATACCTTTGAAGCTGCACATTTGCGAGGCGAACTGTTCGGAATATTAAAGTGAATGACGGAATGATCGCTTACACCTGGAAAAACTGAAAGTGACTGTACAAGATCTGGATGGGTAGTGAATACTAGGTCAAGGACAGTGGCACTTGTCGAGGTTGTACGGGTTGGACATTTCACGAGCTGAGTCAAGTTAAAGTCCGAGCATGTAGTAAGAAAAAAATTGCACTCAAGAGAGCCGAAGCTCGCTACGGGAATAGGTGCGTCCCAGGAAACGCCAGGGAAATTAAAATCACCAAGAACAAAAATGGGCGATGATGGATACCTTACGTGTAATGTATTCAAATCATATAGATCAGAAGAAAATCCAGAAGGTGAATTAGGCGGGCGATAACAAGCGCAAAAAATTACGTCCTTGTGGTTCAGACGAATGCGCACAGAAGTTAATTCTAGAGGCGAGGCAAGCGACACACCAAAAGAAACAAACTCGTCGCAAACCGCTATCAAAACGCCACCACCAGACCGAGTTCCCCTATCACATCTGTAGAACTGATACTTCTTTTGGCAATTTAAAATCTCACTATTATCTACTTTTGCGGATAGCCAAGTTTCCGTCAAGACCACTACATCAGCAAGACATGCGTCAATTAAAGAAGACAAGGCGTCCCGCTTGTTGATAACGCTTCTGACGTTACAAAGCAAAAAAGAAAAATCACGTACTAAGGAGGCACTGGACATAGTAGGCGAGGGAAGATTACGATCACCACCCCTCGCCGACCGCTAAAGTGATGTGGGTGCACTGGGCGCACCCTCAGAGCTTGGTGATTGTTGCACCAAATTACGGGAGGGTCGTGGTCGAGAGAGCTCTGAGATCTGGGTCTAGCTCTTGGTCATAAAAATAACACTTATCATTTACATACAACTTGTTATAAGTAAGTTTAAAGGTGGAGCTCTGAGTCTTTCCAAATTTGATTAAGTTCCTTCGAGCCAAGCGTGTCGCAGGACAAAAACCTTCGCTAATGCTCATGCAGTTTAACTTTAGCTTGACTCTGAGCTGCATCACCTGGTCCTTCGTTTTACAAGACGAAAATTTGACAATGACTGGTCTACATTTGTTTGCAAAAAAACTGTCCCAATCTATGAGCACGCTCGACGTCAAATGACAGCGTGTTGGCAGTCAACTCAGCTGAACCCCTGTCGGAGCAGAGCGCTAACGCGTTTTTAACCTTTTCTTCCTCCTGTGACCACGTTTCAGACACACTGTCAGGAATTCCGTAGAAAAGTAGATTGTTTCGCCTGGAATGATCCTCCATTTCATTCAGTCGTGAGTGCAAGGCGGCATCAACATTCCTCTGATCTCTGTTTTCCCGTCGCAGTGCATCCAGTTCACTCTCCATTGTTCCCGCTTTATTCTCAACAGTCGTAAGTCTGTTACGACTGTTTGACCCGTCTCAAACTTTTGCGACCGAGAATTCAGTTCGTTCAACAGGTGAAGCATCTGCGTGAACTGGGCCAACTGCTCTGCACTCATAGCACCAGGATTTGGTTCAACGTCGCCACAACAAAGAAGTGACCGAAAAAAAGAAGCGGAAGTCGCAACACAAGACTGCAAGTGGCGTGGGCAGGTCAGCAGCAATAAAAAACGATTGTCCGAACGGAAAGAATAGCAATTGTCACTTTTAAAACGTACCTGAACGAAAAGAAGGAACAACTTATTAGGCATCTCGGCCGCGCTGCTGCCAACCTGCCCACTGAAGTAGTTGTCGAGTAGCACGCCTTTATACACTCGGACAGCAACGCTGATGTCCCACGTAGTCGCTTGGTGTCCCACGACACCTGGTAGTCGAAGATGTCCCTGGCCGTCGTCGAGTCACGGTAGGGTGAGGTGTACTGACTTGTCACCGCGCAACTTCCACGCGTGCAACCGCGGGTACCCTCGAAGCAAAGATTAGTTGCTGTCGTATCAGTGGATTTTCCATGAGGCAGCAGCGTGATCTGGACGAAAAGAAGGAACAACTTATTAGGCATCTCGGCCGCGCTGCTGCCAACCTGCCCACTGAAGTAGTTGTCGAGATGGCACGCCTTTATACACTCGGACAGCAACGCTGATGCCCCACGTAGTCGCTTGGTGTCCCACTTAGCTGATCTTAGCTGATCTTAGCTGAGCTGAGGCTCGTTTTTGCGCGTTGCCCGCAGCATGAACCCCTGAGGTAAGGCCGCTGAATCGGACCATGCAAAGTTCTGT